CCCCGCTCCTTCTCAGAGGCCCCCACGCAGCTCTGAGCCCCGGTCCGTCCTGAGCCTCCGGTCCCTCCGGTGCGGGAGACGCCTGCGGCAGCCCCTGGGGAGCAGGCTCCGGCTTCCTCCCCTGGGGATGCTCCGACGTCTCCTCGGTTTGGGGGAACTTTGCCATCTTTCGGCAACTACTTCTCTCCTAGTCGCACCTGCCTCGGTGACATGAGGCCCCTCCCTGTAAAAATAGGGGCTTTTTTCTTACCTGGTTTGCACTCGCCGTGCAAAGAGAAAACTCATTTCAACATGCATTATGTGTGCATTTAACTCACGTAGGAAGCAAAGGCTTTGATTTCTGTCTGTTTTCACGGTCTGTGGTAGTGAAAGGCCTGGTTCAAACTATTGCTATAGCTGCAGAGTCGCTGTTCAGGATGATAGGTGCTTGTCGTATGACACTGTTTCTGTGAGAGAGGGCCGGTGCCACTTGGGGAATGTTCTGTTGGCGCTGCCGAGGCCTGGGGAGAAAGCTCTCTCCTTTGAGGGGGGGGGGCGCCCACCTCCGTTGCTGCCGGATTCCTCTCGACCGCCTGTGCGCCCTCTGGTGGACGACGTCGGGCAGACAGTTCTGCGCTGACTTCCCTTTGCCCCTCGGGCCCTCTGGACCCAGCCCGGAGACCCCGGGCCTGAGGGGTTGCATGCTCCCCGCGCGCGTCCCGTGCTCCCGGCCCCACGCGGCTACGGCGGGGGACCCCCCCATCAGAGCAAACTGAGGGAGATACCATAGTCCGAGTGTTAATTATCCATCACTGAAGGCTGTAACGAAAAGGTCTGTGACGCTCACGAGACCTTTCACCTGACGTGGGCACGCCAGGATCTTTCTTCGGGGATGCGTGGGTGCATTTGCTCTGCTGTGAAGAACACGGTGGCAGGATTACAGCGGCTTCAGCACAGCCTTGTTTCTGAGCGTGCGAGGAGCCCTGTGGGAAGCGTGCACCGTTCTCCCACTTGGGCCGGCCGAGAAGCCCAGCTCCGGCTGCTCTGGGCCGCAGGCTGCCTTGTGGCCGCTGTTCTCCCCCGGCCCGTGTCTCCACGCGGCCGCGGCCGAGGCTGCACGTGCTGGGGGGCGTGTCCCGAGCCCCTGTGTCCGCTGCAGTGAAGGCAGCTGTACGGTGGGACTCAGGGTGGACACGGTGCTTGTGGGCCCGCCTCCTGGGGGCCGCGGGGCGTGCTCGTTCCCAGGAGGGCGCCCGGCCCCCGAGGAGCGGGTGTGGCCGCGTGTTAGAGCCAGAAGGGGGCTCCGGGCCGGTGGGGCCCGCCGTGACTCGGTGCAGAGGGGCCTGCGGGGTCCCGGCGACGTAGCGTGAGAATCCAGTCTCAGACACTACATGAAACCAGGTGTTTGTTTAACTTGAGTGATACAACAATTCCTTCTCAGAGTTGTTCAGGTTGAGAACGTCGGCTGAAAGTGTTCCCCCCTGCCACGCAGAGCTGGCGAGCTGTGATTCCGGCCGTGTTGTGTCTAGGGAGACGGATGTAAGTCCTCCCGAAAATGGGGTTGGGGTTTTTATTATGAAAACCAAATTTCACTTTCATTTGATGTGTGAGCCAGACGCTGCCCGCCAGCAATTCTCCGCTGAAGAATTCCCGTAGCGCAGACACATTCTGATGGGCCTCTTGTTCTCTTGCTGGTCTTCATTTGTCGGGGTGGGTTTTGTCCCACACGGCTCAGCAGTTGAAGAGACTGCCACGGGACTGTGGCGGGCTTGAGGAAGGAGAGCTGGCATCAGAGATACGAGCGGAAAGAGAGGGAAGCCCAGCCACGTCCCCCCGACTCCTGGGGACGTCCGCGTGTCCTGAGCTCGGGCGCTGTCCCACCGCTGCGCGAGCCCACGTGCTTCTCAGAGGTGCCGAGGCCGGGGGGCACGTCGGTCAGGGAGAAGAGTCCTGCTCCGCCACGCCGGGGAGCTTTGTGATAGAACACCCACGGGTGTGAGGGGCAGTCCGCGGGCCTCACCACAGAGGCGCATTTGCCTTATTTTTTCTCTTCGCAACTTGCTACAAAAAGTATTCACAATTCAAGCTTTCCTCTCCTTCCTGAAAACTCTCATTGAATGTGTTCCGTACTATTCAAAGTAGTGTTAAAATAATCACTTTACTCTGCTAGGTAACACAATAAAATTCGCTCTCAGTTTAGCATGGTTTTTGCTTGGCATTGCTGTAACATATTGTTTGTTTAAATATGTATTAGAGTTGGTTTTTTATGTGCTAGAAGTTTCTGTATTTCGCGTCATTGCTATTGTTATGAGGGAATGGGAATTTTTCCGTATTGTTATACAGGAAATGGGAAGTAGAGACCCAAGAAAACGTAGGTGAACACAGGGACATATGTGATTATTTTACTTATTCATCCAGAAAATAAATATTGGATTCTGATGATGAGCTGGGCATTGTTTTACATGCTGTTTGTCAACAGAGCTCTAAACAGATCAGGGTCACGTTTCTGGAAAGCGTGTCCTCTAGGGGGAGGAGACAAACGACACGGAAGTGGAACATGGAACATTCTGTCTCAATGGGGGCTAAGAACTATGGAGGGCGGCCCAGCAGGGAGAGGAGGGGTCTGGTCGTGTGGTTTCTGGCTGTGTCTCCCAGGAGAATGCAGCCACCTGAGGGGGGCGCTGTCCCATGTTCTGTCACCACGGCCGCCGGGTGCCGTCCCGTGTGGAACGTGACAAATGGCACCTGGATGAACTCACTGACTGGGTGATCCCTCAGCCTGGCCTGCCGGTCCCCAGCGGTCACGTTCGTCAGCTACGGCCGCCTGACGCGGCCACAGCGTGACCTGCATTTCGTTCCCTAGGGTGTCACAAGCACCCGCAACACCGGGAGTAGCGTTTAATAAATAGTTGTTGAATGAGTCCACAGTAATTCACAAGAGGAAGCAGTGAAGCCATTCATTCATGATCTAAGAGTTTTATTTGCTCCTTTTGGTAAGCGAGGCTGTCCCTGCCGACAACACATATTCTGGTCGCCGCCGGCAAACTCACGGCCTGTGTGCTCGAGAGTCCTGGGCAGAGAGCGCAGGGGGCCCAAACCCCGACGCCGGGTTCACGCACCCGGACGTCAAATGCAGACACGTGTCAGCTGTGCACTCGCTCAGCTGTCGGTGGCACGGTGCGCCCTTCATACTTAGGATTTTTAGGAAAGGCCTGGCCCACAGAGCTGTGACAGCCCCCCCCACCCCGTGTCCGGAGGGCGAGGAGGGGGGGCGTAAGAGCAGGTGGCCCGGGGTCTGGGGGCGGCCTGGCAGGCTGCTGCTGCAGCTGTTCTCACGGCCTCAGGGCACCAAGCGCTCTGTTTCTCAGCTGATAAAACACGTGTCCTTTCTCGTCCAAGACACCGAGCTGTGTCCACAGATGACTTTCTGGCCAAGCCGCTGTGACCCCTTTTCAACTCTGGGGGGGTTTCTTCTGTTACCGCCAGAGGCTCAGGGACGCGGGAGCGCCGTGCACACGGAAAAGCAGCCGGGTGGCTCCGGACAGGCCGCTGAGGGCCGGCCGCCGCCACGAGGCGGGGGGCCCCGGGGACAGGAGCCGGGTCTCGACAGTGTTCACCCGTTCGGGCGTTTTCCTCCCGGGCACCCCGGGGCTCCCAGCGACGGGGGCGCTGTGGTTCATTCACCGTTCACACACGATGGCTGTAGCAGACTGGCCCCGCCGGAGGGCGAGGCACAGACTCCTCGTAACCCCTGCCCCCCCAGCGCACGCGCGGGGGGCCGCTGCCCTCCACACGGCGACCAGCACCCGTTTCCGGGTAGAAAAGTGCGAGTCCCTTCACGTTCCTCGGCAGAGTGACAGCCCCGGGTGGAGGGCGTGAAATCACGTCATGTCACGTCATCCCCCCGGGCTCACACGTGAGCTGACGTTCATCATCCTAATGTGCCTCTTTGCTCCTTTTTGCTGTCTTGCCAGGGACTGCTAGAAGGGTTTGTATCTAACGAGCAACTTCCAGAGCCTGTTTTCCGTTTTGCCGAGTCCTGTGCACTGTGCTGCAGACGAGGGCTTTGCGCTGAAACAGGGCAGAAAAGGCCACAAAAAGTTCCCTCTATTAGAGATTTAAAGGGAAAACCAGGGTTTTAAAGCCATAAGGAAGCAGCCCGAGTGGCTAAGACACCATCTGTTGTACGTCCCCCCATCGTGTCCCTGTGCCACCGCTCGGGGCGGAAGCACTGACAACCCGCCTCTGGTTGTGAAGACTTAAACCTCCGGTTGGCACAAGACAACCTCAGGAAAGCGCACCGAGTCCTGCATAATGAGATGGAAACATATATTGTGAAAGTGGAGCGCTCACAGGGAAAGTGTTAATCACGTGGTTCATCTGGTTCAAAGTAACTCAGCGATGGTGACGGACCCTCCCGTTGGGCTGTGTAGACGGTGGGGGCGGCCCTGGGCGGTCTGGTCTGCGTGTGTCTGACCGTCGGTGCCTGCCCACCCTGTGTGCCTCAGCGTCACACGTGCAGCTCCCGTGACCTTCCCAGTGGCTGCGTGTCAGGACAGGGTCCTTCAGGGAAACTCTGGGGCCGCAGGGGCCACGCCACACGGCCCCCCTACACCACAGACCCCGCTGCTCGGACGCCCCTCCTGGGGTTGGCGGTGCCAGGCCCACGGGACCCGACCCAGTCCAGGGGTCCCCGTGTGTGAGAGCAGGGTTGTTATACACGTTTTACTAACGAGAACATTTTTCTCCGTTCAGTAGCCACGTGGAAACACCTACTTGTGAAAGTCCATGTTACGAGCCCTGGCTGGCGTGGCTCCGTGGACTGAGCGTGGGCTGCGAACCAAAGTGTCGCAGGTTCGATTCCCAGTCAGGGCACATGCCTGGGTTGCAGGCCACGGCCCCCAGCAACTGCACATGGATGTTTCTCTCTCTCTCTCTCCTTCCCTTCCCTCTCTAAAAATAAATAAATAAAATCTTAAAAAAAGCCCATGTTACTGTGTCATTAGCAAATCACACCTCAGTTGCCTATTTTAAAGATTTTTATTTGTTAAGATGAATAATATATTATCTCGAAGTTAGATCAGAAGAGCCACAGTGAATTTGCTGGTGCCATAAAATAAATCATTTTAACAATTAAGATACATAAATAAGATGTTTATGATAGAAACAATAAAGGTGTCTCTCAACACTGTTCAAATACAGAATTCCCCAGTAATTTGTATGGAATACATTCATCTCACTACATTCAAAATAATAATTGAACCATGATAATTACCATTTTTCCTGCATAATTTTCCTTTTATATTCTATGAATTCACACAGTGTAGCAGTAACCTACAGTATCACAGTGCTTGGTGATCTTGAAGATATGAAATGAAATTCTTCTAATGGTATGTAGAAAACAGAAATAATTAAAATCACTTGTATAGCATTTTATAAAAACAGAGTAACTAGTGTATTTTCTGTAAAAATAAATTACGTGGTTTGTGCCGAATTGTCGTCCAGGGAGGTGTTCAGCAGACAGGGACACTGGTGCTTCGGCCGCGTGGGGACGTTCTCACGGCTGTCCCTCCTGCGTGACGGGCAGGCTGCTCCACGGGAGAACACGCCGGTGCTCTGGAGGGCAGAGGCCACGGGGGGGGGGAGCGGTGGGCACACACAGTGTTCGCGGGAACACGTGGTTCTCGGGGTGGTCGTAAGGTGGGTCCACTTCGACTGTCCTCAAAGGCAGTTTTCCATCCGGCTGCCCGTCACTGCTGTCCCGCGAGCACGGCCACCGCGGGCAGGCGAGGGGCCCTGGGCGCTCGGCCCCCCACGGGCGCCCCGAGTGAGGCTGAGCCCAGGGTGGCCGTGGTGCCTGCTCTGAAGGCGCGAGGGAGGCAGACCTCCCCGGAGGGCGGCCGGGTGGCCCACGGGAGCCGTGGCCGTGGCCGTGTGGAGCCACGTTTGCTGTCTGGGTGGCAAACGGGTGACGGCCCGAGGACTGATCGCGGGGAGCAGCAGCAGGATGCCGGCGTCACCCCCGGGGAGCCCCCCGACCGCACGGGGGGCCCGCCCCTGCGGCCTGCGGTCTGCTCTTCATCTTCCTCTTCTTCTGCTGGCCCGGGGCCTTGTGTTTGCGCGGCCTCTGTGTCTTGCCTTCCTCTTTGTACCAGGGCCCCCAGACGCCCCCGTTGAGCTGGGGGTTGCTCCTGGGGTCCCCGGGCGGGTACCTGACGGGCACCGCGGTCTTGTTGAACCGGGACAGCCGGCGGAGCAGCTGCCGCACGACGCCGGGGTACCTGCCGGACAGGTCCACCCTCTCGTAGGGGTCGGCCGTGATGTTGAAGAGCCATACGCTCTGGCCGGCGGACAGGGTGACCCGTTCGCTGTGCCACCGGGTGGGGCCCAGGTTGCTGAAGGCCTGAGGGGGGACCCAGTCGCCGTAGCCGGGGTTGCCCGTGAGCAGCTTCCAGTGCCGCACCCGGATGGCCGACTGCACGGCCGTGTCCCAGATGCCGTAGCCCGCCGCCCAGGAGCCGTGCGGCGCCCGCGTGTACACGGGGTCGATGTTGTGCAGGATGTCCTCCCGGGGCGAGCGCAGGCCCTCGCTGAGCGCCTCCCAGACGTCGTAGCCGTCCAGGCGGGCGTCCTCGTCCACCTGCCCCTCGGCCAGCGCGACCAGCGTGGGGTACCAGTCGGTGATGTGCACCAGCTCCCTGCACACGGTGCCCCGGTTCTTCAGGAGGGGGCTGTGCACGAAGCCCACGGCCCGGACGCCCCCCTCCCAGTAGGTCCCTTTGCTGCCCCGCAGCGGCCAGTTGTTGCCCCCGGCAGCGGGCTGGCCGCCGTTGTCCGAGGAGTAGATGAGGACGCTGTTGTCGTAGAAGCCATGCGCCTTCAGGGCCAAGGTCACGTTGCGGACCGCCTCGTCCAGGCAGGACAGCATGGCGGCGTACCGGCGCCTGTGCACGTTGGCGATGGACCGGTAGCGCTCCAGGTACCGGCCGGGGGCCTGCAGCGGCGAGTGGACCGCCTGGAAGGCCAGGTACAGGAACAGCGGCTTCCGGGGGTCCTGGGAGGCCAGGATCTGCTGCGCCCTGCGCGTGTACATGTGCGTGGAGTACTCGCCCCGGTCGTGGCCCCAGGCCGCGCGGTCGTTCTCGTACAGGTCGTAGCCGCACACGCCGGGGCCGTCGCACTTGTAGTGCGTGTAGTAGTCGCCGCTGCCCAGCAGGGAGCCGAAGAAGGTGTCGAAGCCCCTCCTGGTGGGCATGCACTCGCGCCGGTAGAACCCCAGGTGCCACTTGCCCACCATGTGTGTGGAGTAGCCCAGCTCCTTCAGCTTCTGGGGCAGGCTGGCGTTGTCCAGGGGCAGGCAGCTGGGCTGCGTGGGCCGGATGACCGAGTGCTGCAGTCCGGTGTGTATCTGGTACCTGGGCGGGAGAGCAAGGGGCGCATCAGTGCGGGAAGGAGGTGTCCCCCCCAGAGCGCCAGCCCTCACGCCACGTGGCTGGGGTGAGCATTGAGTTCACCCCAGACACAGCACGGCCAGTTCTGCATTTCTGCCGTCCCCCGGGTCCGACCCTGACCAGCTTCACGCTCAACATTCGCGATGCACTTGACCATGGCCGTGAAATCTTCGGGAACTAAGGTTTCTCTGCCGTCTCACGGCGTTTTTAAGTTCTTGTAGCAGAATGTGCTGGAATCATCTTTAATGTTTCAGTTAATTGTATGACACAGAAAACTAATGTGATAAAGGAAAGCATAATCATTTCAGAGTATTATTTTTTAGAGTTACTATTTTTTTTCATCTAAGGAACTCACATTCGCTCCTAAATCATTTCCTGAAATTTATTTCAAGCTAATTCTGAAGTACTGAAACACATGCCAAAATTATACAAAAATCTCCTGTTTGACTGTCAAAAATATTATAATCAGCCCTCAACCCATTAGATCTGTCGAGGGAAAGGGAAGGTTTCTGACTCACATCATTGTTGAAACGACATTTTAACTTCCTAAATTTTCAGTTGCAGTGACATTCAGTCTCGTATCAGTTTCAGGTGCGTGGTGTTGGAACAATTTCAGAGGAAATGTGGTGCTACAAAGGGTTGCATTTCCCCCAAAACAGCAGGCAGTGAGCTCTTCCCCACAGTGTCTACTTAAAAAAAATTACACCCACAAAATAGTTTAAGAAAGTTGGTGACACTTTCCACACATCAAGATTAGGTGAACGCGGGGCTGGCGTTGCCCCCTCCCGGGGGTTCGTCACGGGGCTGCTTTCCCCCTGGGCGGTCATCACGTACGTGCGTGAGTTTCAGGTTGGGTCAGGATGTGCCCACCAGCTCACGACACTGTAAAATCTGTCAATTCTGTGGTTGTTGTGGAAGTTCAAAAGGACGTTTTAACTAGAAAATATGGAAATACTGAGAAAACGAAGGCTATAGACAGTGTCAGGGTAAACGTGAAAATGTTCCTGGAATCAAATTACACAGACTCAGACACGATTAAAAACAAATTCCTCCCCAAGCTGACTGAACCTGAGAGGCCGGCGTGTCACCGGTGGCTCGGGTGGGCAGCTCCGTTTATTTTTAAACGTCCAGCTGATAGTGCGGCCGCTGGGAGCTCCTTCCAGCCGCGCTTCCGGAGGGGCTGTGGGCAGGGGTGGGGGTTCGGGGCGCCCACCCTGCTGGCCAGGGAGCCGCCAGCGCCCGGTCATCGCAGGCGTGGGGGTGTCAAGGTTCCCACAGAAGCAAGCACGTCCTAATCCCTCTCAGCACCCAGTCAGGAGGTGTTGTAACTGTCACTACGTTCCGTCCAGGTCAGGCTCCAAAACATTCTCGGGGAAAACCACCAGTTTCTCACGGCACCAGACAGGTGGGCACCACCTGTGGGTGTAAACTGCGGGAGTTCAAGGGGGCGGCTGGGCCGGGCGTGGTGGGCGCGGGGCTGCCGGCCGGCTCCGTGTTTCTGTCTGCTCCGGAGCAGGACGGGTCCCTCCTGGAAGGCCTGGAACCAACCGCGGGAAGGTCTGGCAGCAGCTCCTGGCAGAAGAGGTATTTTTAGGGCAGCTTCTGCTTAACTGAGTTCAAGCCTCTTCGGCCAAAGGAGAGGGAGTTTGGGGCAGAATTGGGGGCCTGGGTTCGGGGTGTGGTTCTGGGGTCAGACAGGCCTGGGGGTGACGCTGTGCAGTGCCCCACCCCTGGCCCTCAGTGTCCCCATCCGTAACGACACACAGTGGGTGCTTGCGGCTCCGGACGAGCGCGCAGCGTGTGGTAAGGAGAGACATCCCGTAAGTGGCAGCGCGCACTGCCGTCTGCGGTCCTAGAATCCGGAATCACGTCGCTCCTGTGCCTGGCTCAAGTCTGATGGTCAGAGCCCTTCCTCCGTGTGCGTCACTGAGCTGGTCCTCACGACAAGGCGGGACACGGGTTCTTCACGCTCACGTCGTGGGCCGAGTGTGGAGGGATGGGGGGGCCCCGGGGCCGCCCCCGCCGGCCTGCCGACACCGACAAGCAGTTGCTGAGTGCAGGAAGGAGAGTGTGTGGGGGGCCGCACGGAGTGGGGCGGAGGGAACGACGACACACACCACGCCTTCAGGGAGGACCGTCTCCCCGGAGAGAGCGATGCTGAGGAAAGGCTGCCATTCCCTGTCGTGTAAACTTACGTAAAAGTGACATTCGGAGGAGTAAGTCTCAGAAAATTAGCTTCTGCCACTCAGATTGGTTCCTGATATGGGACCAGTTTCACCACGGCGATGAATTAAGTTAAAGAGACGTCGAGGTGCCACACCCATGGGAACAGCCACTGGGTCCCGTCAGGGAGTGTCGCTCCTGTTGGGGACGGACGGACGGCCGTCCACCTCGGGGGAGGGGGGGCGCACTGGACCACGGGAAAGGGGACGGAGCGAGCGGGCAATTCTGCGGTTGTGCCCACAAAGCCGTCGTCCTCACAGCTGCCCCGCACGCCCACAGGTGCTGACGGTGCCGCTGTCCGGGCCCTGCTGCACGGCTTCTCGGGCCCCCGTGCAGGCGTGGCTGCCCCTCAGCCCCTCCGGCTTCGGGGACACGGCAGGGATTCCCCCCGCATTTCTGTCTCTTCACGTCCAGCTGTGTGGAGCATGCGGCCTCCTCGGCCACACGTTTCTCAGGTCCTCAGTGAGGACCTGAGGCCCCTCTGTCCTACTCGCTCGACCTTCAGTATTACTGACAACGTCCCCTGACGCAGGCAAGCCAAAGGCCCCGGGGCGTGGTCCTTCCTGGCGAATCCAAGGCAGGTGGTGGCCGTCTCTGACCCCGTGAACCACCTGCTCAGTAGCCTCCATCCCCAGTCAAGTGCAGTGTTTTTTGTTTTTGTTTTTGTTTTTTAAATCAGGGCACCATAGTCAGTTAGCTGATCTTGCTTCTATAATGCAGACTTTTACATTTCCATATTCTGATACCTGTGCTTTTTAGGAGCCATCAGTGGCTGCTTTACATTTCTTCACGTTTGTGCTAACGCTGAAAACATGGCCTGTAGCTCGCTGCCCTTCAGGCCTCCTCCCCCAGGTCAGCAGAGCTTCCACGGAGGATTTGGGTGGGGGGGGGGCGGGGGGGCCGGGCGAGGTGGTGCTGACAGCAGCCACTAGAGGGCGACAGAGGGCTGGGAGATGGGTGGGGGATGCCCAGCGGACTGGCCCTTGGGGGAGAGGCTGGTCCCTCACACTTGTCTGAAATCCCAGCGTGGGTTCGGCCCGGTGGTCCGCATCAGCGCTCAGGGGCAGGGCCGCGCTGTGAGGGGGGCGCCCGTGCCAGAAACGGCCTTGACACTGGGACTTGGTGCTCTGCGTTGACGTCTGGATTCAAAGCTAAGAAGATCGGAATCAGCCACAACAGCTGCAGTTCATCGAGTGCCCACTGTATGTCCAGCAATAAACGGACAGTCTCTCTCCTCCTCGGAACCACCTTCTCCGTGACTCTGCCAAGTGACGGAGTCCCCACTGCACAAAGGGGAGCCCAGGTTTGACAGAAGCGATGAGGTCGCGGATGTCCAAGATGCACGGCCCACGAGGGAAGAAACTGCCTCAAGAAACGCGAGGGTCGGCGAGGCCCTGTGTCTGGGGGCGCGGGAGGCGCTCCGCAACAGGCTGAGTCAGTGCGTGCGTGCGGCTCTTCACGGCCTCCCTGCTCCGGGCTTGGTCGGCTTTCTCAGCAGCTGCCACCGGACACGTCGCCCCTGGAGGCTGCCAGGAGGGAGGCCCCTGGTTTCCCGCGGCCGACAGCCCCCTCGAGTTCCAAATACGTGTGTGCATCACGTGTCTCCCCGGGAACAACGCCCTCTCCCCCCTTCCCAGCATTGAGACATCGTCCTTAGGATTCATACTTTTCCTTGCAATGAAGACACAATGTTACCATAGCAGCATCTTCTGATCTTAGAAAATGCCATTTGGAAGGCGTATAAAATAGGTCTACATTTTAGGTTTATGGAACATAAATCCATAATTCATGTTATTTGTTTTTGTTCTCATCCATTATGAGGATATGGAATGTCAATACTCGCAAAGGACAATGAATGGAATGTTTATTTCAAATTCTGCCTCGAACAAAATACCTAGGAAGCCCTGTGTTTCAAAAAAAGACGGAAACGCCTCCCTTCAGCTCATTTAGAGTTAAAGACGGCGGCAGTTTGGTGGTCCACCTCCACCTCCCAAGGACGGAGGCCCCGTCCTTCCGCAGGCCCGTCTGACGCACGGGATTGGCTGGCAGGTGGGGCTCGACCTCAGCAGCTGCGCTGGGCGGCGACCCACCCGTGGCCCCCTTGCTGGAAATAGCGCGGGGCCCTTTACATTTGCGCTGTTTCTAAAACGCCACGGGCATTCTCACCAGAGCCGGGGGGGGCCAGAGGCTGGGCCTCTCGGAAGTGAGTCCGGTTTGCCGCGACGCCCCCGGGCGCCTCCGTGTGCCCTGCCCTGCCTCCTCCCGGCAGAGCTGTGCTGCTGTCCACCCTCCTCTCAGAGTCTCAGCGGTTTCGTTAGCACGTGTGAGCGCACCGCCTCTGTTTGCGAGTCTACGCCAGGTGGGCGAAGTTAATTACTGGGGAGGTCTGAGCTCCAGGTGCTTGGACCTGGGCAGCAAACAGTGGAGGGCAGAGCAGGGGCTGAGAGACAGGGACCCTGCCTGGCAGGGTCACCCGGTCCGAGGTGGCCCTGGGACAGGGGAGGCCCACACCCTGCCCCTCCCCCAGGTGTGCACCAAGGCCCATCTGAATAAGAGGGCAGGTGACTGTCACTCACATAGTAACTCAGGCAGTCAACCAGCTGCTTTTAGGTCTAATCCACTCTAACTCGTGGCACTCTAACGCAAAAATCAATCTGTTAGGACTGCAAAGCAAATAAGCAGTGTGTTTTATTGGGGAGTAAAATGTGAAATCAGCAGGCGCCAACCACTCATTTGAGAAT